TTACCACAACATCCAACGTAACATTAAATCTAACATCATGATAGGTGAAAATGTCACAGGTTTCTTATTACTTTTAAGAAATGTAATAACAATAACTATTAACACCCAAGTAAAGTACAAAAAGAGCTTGTTCCTATTTGTAAATGCCATTTTGTATTAGCTCTCAGTCACCTGAGGCGCTGCATAGTTGGAGGGATTATTGTACTTCTCAGGTAGCTGCAGCCACTTATGGCCTGGACTTGTGCCTCAGAAACTTGCCTGAAGGCTCCATTAATTGCCAGTAATGCAAAGCTTGTTGTATCATATTGCTTAATTGTCCACTTTTCCTCTCTGTGTCATGCCAAGCAGATAGGAAAGGCTTTGGAAGAGAACTTAGTCAAAATGTGTTGATCACAGGGAAGTGTCAGAAAACTGAGTAAAGCCTTGTGGAATATTGGAGGGTAGACATAACCTGACTTGAGGATGTGCTTCTTCAGTGTCCAATTCCTTGGATCTTCATCCATTGACACAAAGTGTGAAGTGTCTCGTAAGACTGGCACTCTTTAAGAAAGACAGAAGGAGACACTATTCTTTTATCACAGCACAGGCAAAAAGCTCTCTAAACCCATCATGGTGCTAAAGTATAAAGCAGGTCTACCCTTTGGCTGCAGTGAGAAGGAATCATTGAAAGGTATTTTGACAACATAATCTATTCTTTTGTGCTCTTTCTTCACGCTCATGAAGCTCTTGATGCTTCAGTGAGAAAAGTTGAAGGACCAAGAAGCAAGCCAGAGTTATGTCTAGATGCAGAAATAAGAAACAGGAAATCTCTTTAAGGCATTAAACCTCCCAGCAGGTTTTGTTGTCATCACCTTCTCTATCCCATTGACAGTGGCTGAGGACCTACTTTCTGCAGAGAAATGTTATCAATGATCTTTTCAGAGATTATTCTCTTATATTTAGAGAAGTTAGACACATGGTCACCAGAATAGCTACTGCTGCTCTTGAGATGTTTAACTTCCATATTTAACATCAGGAATCTCTTAAATTGTTTTATATCCCCTCATTTCTGACAAAACTATTTCCAAGACAGCTAATGCTGTCACAGATTTAAGGGTAAATGAGTCCAATTTAAGAAATTATATTCTGCAGTCAGATCTCTTCCTATTAGGTATTTTGAATCCAGGCTTTATACTTAACTTTGTCTCTAAAGTGTAGTTTTACCACTAAGAAAGAAAGAGATTTCTAAAATGCATTGGAACATTGAAAAAGAGTTAGTTAAATGCAAGTAAGCATCCTACACCACAGTATCAGAGTCCAGGCTCTGGACTGGCAGCACTAGCATCTTCCTAGCCAGACACTCATCATCACCCAGGAGTGATTGACTCTGGTAATCACTGGCTGATCTCAACTGCCAGGAAGAGAGGTAGGCTGAGCAGCTGCCGTGTGCCTTGGCTAGCATCTGGGACAAGGAGGCAACTACTGCAAAGTGAGAAAGATACACAGGGATCTGTGGGGGGCTGCTTCGCTCTGGGGGTGGCTGGTTTGGTCGTGCACCAGTCGGAGCAATGAAAGGCTCATGCTGTGTGTGGAAGAGGCCGTTGCTTGTGGCAAGATGAGCTGAAAGGAAAGCACCTTTCCTTTCCAGAGGAAAGTGAAATCTTACAGGTATTTTAAATCTGAAAATGAAATATTTCCAGTCTCCTGGATATATATATATTTTTTTTTTTTATGAAAGATTCTTGTTATCTCTATGCCACTCTGGGAATGTCACATGCATTTTAGTGACCTTTATTTTGCCAGGAAGTGCTAGGAGCCAAACACTAAATGAGAACTGAGCTCTTGGGGCTTGAGAAAGGGCTTCTGTGAAAGAGTTGTGGCCAAAAATGGGCTCCCACTTTCTCCTGAAGCTTCATCCATCTGGCTATCATGCTAAGGAAGATTCACACCTTCAGGCAGGTGTCTGCCATACAGCCCAGGAAGGGCACCATGCCAACATGCAGAGCACAGCTTATTAGCAACATGTTTTAAATTTGTGGTTTACTTTTAGTTCCATTTACCTCTCCCATATACCTGCCTATTAGGGGATTCAGTGGGCTCTCTTGTATTCTGTGTGACCAAACCCACTCCCGTGAGCTGTCTTCAGCAGAGGTCTAGGTGCAGGTCTGTTCAAGACTGCTCATGGTCATTTAAGCACTGGCTGGACAGATGTAGAAGAGAGGAAAGGTATGTGCTCCTGCCATTGCTCTCCTAGTCCTGCACTACCTGGGTGCTTAGGACCTCAGCACAGTGGGTGTTACTGAGTTTGGTTCACCCAAAGGTTTTGGCAACAGCGCTTCAGTTGTGGGACTTCTGCCTAACCTGCCTGCCTGCCAAGGGTTTCAATTTTCTGTCACAGGAGATGTTATTGGATTGGGTTGAACTAGCAAAGAAAACAGTTACACTACTAGCAGTTCCAAATCCAAGGCGCACTGTGTTAGAGTGAGATTTACACTCTGAGAATGAGCGGTAGCTTGCAAAAGTAATCTTGTACCAAAAAAGTAAGGATCCTTGTGTGAAGCAATTAAGCTCTTTTCTTCCCATTTCCCTGGTACCCTCAGTTACTCACTTTTCACACTGCCACTCCTACCGCAACTAGTGATTTCCCTTTTACTGCCTGCTAGCCTTCCTAGCCCCTCACCCCACATTCTGCCACCGGTCTCTGTTTCCCCGTTACAGATGTCTCACGGACTCTGGGGCTCTCTGGTCGATGTTTATTCACAGCGTCTCCTCTAGCTATTCCTCCGCCTTGTTCTCAGTATCCATGGGAACATCTTCACTGTCCCTGGTTCAAAACAGGGCTTCAGTGTCCACCTTCACTTTAGAGATTCACTCCTCATCTGCTGCATGAGAGAGAGAGTTTGAGAACAGGCTTTTCTACATTAATTCTGTATTCTTGTGTCCATTTTCTAAGTTCAAAAACTCTTCCCTTGCCAGGACCTGAAAAGACAAAAGCTTTTTTCTAAACTTTTGCCTGGCAGAAGTAAAGCCACTGAAAGCAGTTTCCCAGTGGCTGTGTGCCCTTCTCTGACCCCAGCTGGCCATGCTTGTTCCCCACCACAGCACCATATCCCCACCCTGGGGTCTTGGGGAAAATGTTCAAGGGCAAATGCTGCTGCTTCCTCTGGGGATAGCGGAGCAATGGTCTGTACCATTACTGTGCAGCCCCAGTTAAGTGCTGCTCCCTAAGTCAAGTCTGGGGAAAGACTTGAGCCATAACAGGGACCATTTTCTTCTTCATGTGCTCAGAAAGCTGAATGAGGAAGGACGTGCCTGAAGTTCCTGCCCCTCCAGGCACCACAACTGTTGAGTAACTCAGGACAGACATTGAGTCCTGGTCCTAGGGAGCTGATTAATCCTTCCTGAGGACCTGTGCCTGCCTCCAGGGTACTTTCTACAGGGCAAGTCCAGCAGAATGGAGCAGCTCAAGCTTTCCAAGATTTGTATTCTCTTGCTGTTTCTCAGCAGGGTGTCACCACTTGCCTCACCCGCCTTGACACCAGGGAGGCCCATAAATCCGCTGCACAGCGATAGGGCAGCCCTCCTGATGTTCATTATGCATCTCACTGCTGGAGGAAAGCACCACCTTTGGTGCCAAGTACATTAGGGAACATGCTTCAATTTAAAAATACTCCATGGGAGGGAATCACAGCACTTCCAAAGCTTGGCCTCTTGCATCACAAAAGCAGAGCATGCTCCTCTCCATATCTCAGATGATAACAAAAGCCCGAGGCCAACAAACAAAATGAACAGCTTTAAAAGAACAAAGCTGCGCTGGGTTTTGTATACACTGTTTGTTGCCACAGTCTGGCCCAGAGTCACCATCTCGGATTTCCCTGACAGAATGATGGAAATATAAATATGGGCTATAAACCCAAAGTATTTCCAGCTCATACATCCGAAGGATAGAAATTATAGTCTCTTAGCAAGGAAAATGTTCGAGGGTAGTGAGGTAATGGGACCTGGTTACAGAGCTCATTTCTCTGAAAAACTTCAATACAGCATGGAAATTTTTCCAATGTCCTTGATGCAACCTCTGTTAAAGTACAAAATAATCCCCTGTTTCAGTGGAAAAGCCCCTTCCATACCTTCAAATATTAACTGCTGAGCTTCATTTTGGAAACAGTTTCTTTCCAGCTGCTGTTTCCAGAGATTTCTGAATGGCTCTGAAGACACAGCGTCAGCAAGGAATGAGATCTGGCAGTTTTAAAGATAATCTGTTGCCTGTTGGCTTACCTAGAAAGGGCCTCACTTTTCTGTGTATTTGCTGAGAGCTGCTGCTGTTGAACCATAGGAGTCCCAGCTCCAGTCTTGCTAAATAATATTCTGGAAGTCCATGCCATGAGTCACAGCACTGGATGAAGGGCTCTGCTCATTTGATTAATTACATTACCATGCCTGCCCTTTACTTGTTGACTCATAGCCATAAGAGCCTGGGATGTGCTGCGTATGTAGTAAACTGATTAAAAGGGGAATGTATGTCAATGCACAGATGTGTACGATAGCTTTTTGAAATCCCTCATGATCTTCCCACCCACTGGGCATTGCTTCAATATTGAGTTCAATCGTCAGGAAAAAAACTTGCTCCCTCATCTGCGTTGCATATTGCAATGAGCTTGCCAAATATGGCCAAGCTTTTAGAAAGAAAAGAGAATCCCCCCACCAGTGAATTTATGACCTTTGGCTCTGCTTGTGGCTTGTTCCTGTGTGTGCCTGAGTGACATGGAAACTGCAGCAAATCTCTTTGGCCTGCTCCTACACTCTCACACTTGCAGCTATGTTGGATTTTTCCTTTTTTTAATGACTAGGTTTTTTTTGTTTGGTTTGTTACCTTCTAATGCAAGCAACCCATGACAGGAAGCCCAAAGAAGAGCAACATGTGTCAATGAAAAGAAAGGAGAAGGATGGAAAAGAAAGAAGGAGAGGCTAGAAGCATTATTGAGCATTTGAAAGTGAAACATCACTCCCCTTGTCTCTTCCAGGTCCTTTAAGCCAGACTTTGTCCTGATCCGGCAGCACGCGTACAGCATGGCGCTGGGAGAGGACTTCCGCAGCCTTATCATCGGCCTCCAGTATGGTGGCATCCACACGGTCAACTCCCTCTACTCCATCTACAACTTCTGCAGTAAACCTTGGGTGGTAAGTGACGATCCAGCTGTACTGCATGCCAACACTGCAAAGTAGATACCTAGTACCAGTAAAGCACCAAACTCAGCTTCCAATCTGTTTCATAGGAATTTATATCTTTAGGTTAAAACCACCATCTAATCTAAACAGCCTTAGGAATCCAGCTGGGAATTCTTGGAGAAAAAAATACCAGTACTGCTCCTTTATCAGCTTCTAGTAATATTAAGGTCTCATTTCCTCACCCTGAGTAGGACATTTCATCTGTTCTGGACTGTAATGAGTCACAAACAGCCAATAGGACAGTAAAATCTAGATTCCTTGTAAGGCAGAGCAGATAAATAGTAATAGATTACTATTAGCAGATCAACATTAGCAAGTCTCTGTCCTGACCAAAACATGGTAAAACTACCTTAAAAGAAACATTAACATTCACTGTTTTAGAGGGTATTTGAACTGCATTATTTCTAGCATCTTTTATTAGATGTACACTTCTTGTAGCCAGGTGCCCCAGCCTAGGACTAAGATTATCCATTTCTTGCAGAAGTGCAACCTGCATTTGTCTTCTCCTGTGTTCTCTTCCTACTTTTTCAGGGTGGTGCTTTGTTGTGAGGAAACTAGCTGAAAAGAAAGGCAAGAAAGGTATAGAGATTATTCCTTCAACAACTAGGTATAGGAAAAGAGGGAATATAGAATGGCAAAGACCTTGGAAAGGGGCAGAAGGAAAGGGGAAAGCGCATACAGTTTTTCAGCAGTTTCAGAAGGAAATACAAGATTACAATAAAATCTTGGTTTATTGACCCTGACAGACTGCACCTTGGAAACACCTTGGGCTGAGTCAGCTCCTGGGGAAAACAGGACAGTGTTTTGGTATTTTTCACTGGGATCTCCCTTCACCTGTTCTTTAAATTTTGTCAAGTTCACATGGAATTCTCAGATAACCTTAAAAAATATTATCATTGACTTCTCTCAGCCCCAAATCAAAGTTTGTAATAATTCCCCAGACCTGTTTTCTGACCAACTCTAAGTCAGTTGGACCTGCAGGAGAGCCAGAGAAGTGAGGCTGGCCATTGTAGCACCTGCAGGGAGAAGTCAGAGGCTGATATCATTTTGGAGTCCACAGCTGGGTCTTCCAAACAGTTTCATCCCAAAATGCCCTCCCTGATTACTGAAGCTCACAGAATGGAAATTTCCCTGCATTGTTCTAGGTGTGAAGCAAGGAACTACAAGCTATATGAGTGTCACAAGGAGGTGGGACTTTCCAATATGCCCCCCCATGGAAAACTTCTAGATAAGTTTCTAGGAATTCCCCTCACTCATTGCACAAATATAGCTTGGGATGAGATGCAACGTTTATAGCAAGTAGCAACTATAATCTTCCTTATTATCTAATTAAGGTTTTGTTGTTGTTTTTTCCTTGGAATAAATAGCCTATTAGTCTTCAGTGTGTTGACTGGTAGTTCAAATCCAGCTGAGGTCTGTAATGACTCAGACTTTTATTTCCATGAATATGCAGTTTTGGATTTAACTCACTTCTTACCAAAAAGGTAACAGTGTTAGAGACAGGGTCTTCTCAGTTTTCTCCCCTTTTATGACATGTGGGGGTGTTGTTGAGACCAAAAGCAGGGTCCTGTCTTTTCCAAAAATGCTCTAGTGCACTAATGAGAATAGTGAGAAAAATCTCACTTTTCCATTACTGTATCGGAGGATGATGCACGTTTGGCCTCAGTCTCCATTTGAATGACAAGGGTTGCTGGGAACAGAATGGAAAGGGAAGGAAGAGATTAATTAAGTACCAGTGCATCAGTACAACACCTTTGCATTGTTTCCTACAGTTAGTCTGGCACGAGTGCGTGTATCCTGGTGACTAGACAAAAAGCCTCTGCGTTTACACTGACTTTTCCTGAGGAAAACAGTCATATGTGGTCTATTCTGTCTGATTTTGGGGTTGAGACAGTTCAGGTGTAGTTGACATTTTTCAACTCATGCCATGTAATTATGTTTGTGATGGTGTACAGGGGCCTTGAGATGTGACAGGCCTATTTTTAGTAATCTGAAATAAAAGAAAACAAACAAATTCAGCACACTGGGGCGGGGGGAAGCAGAGTTGGCAAGGCAGTGTGGGAGAAATTGGCTCTGCCAGTAACTTGGCTCTAGCTATTCTGGGTCCGGTTGTGCCATGTTTTCCTCATGGGGAATACAGTTGGCTCAGGCAACCTTCCCAGAGGAGTCAAGGAAACCACTTGTAAACAATTAAAACAGGTTTGCAGAATGTCTCCTTTC